GTTACACTTACACAAGATACATACAACAAATACACAAAGTAGTAAATGCCCTAAATGTTTTTTATATGCAAGTTTACCTCGATCATGGGTGGTGCTAGGCGCACTATTATTCTCAATAGAATATATTTGCGATATTTTTTGCTTATGATTTTCAGTTACTATAAGGACTGGTAGTAAAACATTTATATATCATGTCAAATAGTAAAGTCAAATTAGGGTCGAAAATTGGTAAACTATGCCCAAAAGTATCTAAACTTAGTAGTGAAATTCCTATAGGGTCCATTCCACCCCATCACAGTTTTGAATAAAGCGAAACATTACTCTTTTAGCCTTAAGAGCAGTTGTTTAAACAATTATAACTTCGTTATTTGGTATGTAAAAGAGTATGCCCAAAATATTATTCAGATACTATGTAAATCTATATATCTTACTAATCTTACTAATCTTACTAATCTTACTAATATTATAAATGTGAAAGTTTGTATGTTTGGATGTTTGGGAAATCATCACGCGGAAACGACTGAACGGATTTGCATGAAATTTTGTACGCAGATAGCTTATGGGCCAGATTGGTTAATAGGCTATTTTTTAGAGTTGCCACCTGTTAAAAAAGTTTAATTTATTTAATATGCGGGAACGACTGAATAGATTTGCATGAAAATTTGCACACAGATAGCTTATGATCTACAGTGGAAAATGGGATACTTTTCTTAAGAGTTGCCACCTGTTAAAAAAGTTTCATTAAACAAATACGCGGAAACGACTGAATGATTTACATGAAATTTTGCAAGCAGATAGCTTATGACCTACAGTAGAAAATAGGCTAATTTTTTGGAAGAGTTGCCACCTGTCAAAAAAGTTTAATTAAATTAATACGCAGAAACGAATAAACGGATTTGCATGAAATTTTGCACACAGATATATTATGACCTAGGTTAGAAAGTAGGCTACTTTTTTAAGAGTTGCCACCTGTTAGAAATGTTTAATTTAATTAATACGCGGAAATGAGTGAACTGATTTGCATGGAAGTTTTCACACAGATAGCTTATGAGCTAGGTTGAAAAATAGG